CTATAGCGCTGCATTCCGGACGGAAAGTTCTCCAAAATACAGCCATAATGACCAGGCGCTCTATTCGAGTGAAGACGGTAGGCCCTGCACTCCTCATTCAGCCGGATAAGTCCTGTGGTGCAGGTTGAACTTGTGACAAAAAAAGAAAAGAAAAAACAAGGGGGCCAGTACGCAGCAGTGGCAAAAAAAGTTTGTATAACGCATTCCAAACACAGGTTTGTCACTTCAGTCACAGCCCCAAGTTTGACAATGTCATGCAGTTGAGTCACTTGGAAGTTTGGGTTGGCACTTCGGTCACCCTTGGCATTTTTTTCAATTAGCAGTCCAATCACAGCCCGATTTCGAGTTTCATACAATGTCGAAATCGGGCTGCAACCAGACTGCTCACTGAAACTCACAACCGCGACTGAACTGCCAACCCAAACTTCCAACCCATAACTGAACTGAACTGCCAACCGTAACTTCAACTGCATTCTGCATTTCAAACTTCAGAGCTGAATGGACTGCAGAAACCATGTTCCACACGCATGTCGATATACCCTAACCCTGACCGTAACCCTGACGGAGCCATAGTTTTCTCAAAAAGAGAAAGAGAACAACAGTCTACTACTCCAAATCCACCTCCGGCGAGTCGGCGGCGACTCCCTTTCTGGACCTACCTCACATTCAGCGTGGCATCGCTTGTGAGAGCCTCTTGTGACCTCTGACAGTTCGATGCCTGCAATGGGTGTAGAGACATGACACCCGACTTGAAGTGACTGAACAAAAAAAGTGCTGATTAACTTGTTGTCTCCTCCCCTAGGGCATCATATTCGCACTTGGCGCTTTGGACAGAATGTGCCGCTCGCACAGATTGTGGCGGCCATTGCGGTTAAACATATCCACAGGGAAGTTCCAGTGTGAATATGCCCTTTTCTTTGTCTCCCCGTATCCTTGAAAAGGAGGGAAGGGAGACCCAAGGTGAAGCCCCGTGACCGGCCGTCTGTTTGCTTAGTACACTGTTGTTGCTTGTATTCCTCTTGAATGTAGGCTTCCGCTCATCTATAGATCCATCATCTGTATTCCAACTCTAGGTCGGTTTTTTGGCAGCTCATGCGTGTACCAACTGAGCTAGGGTAAATTGCAGAAACACCGAAACAGTGCTTTTTCCAAGTTCGCCAGCAAGAAATATCGTTGGCTGGACGTTCCGTTGCAAAGTTACTTCTTTTGAAGCAGCTTTGCAGGGGTTCCCGCTAGTTTCACAGCAAAAATATCACCTTTAAAGTTTTCCAGAATTCCGGATATCCCATCACAGGACCCGTTGGACTCTGGCCTCAGGCTCGAATTCCCTGACTGAATGAGGCCAGAGGCCCACGAGTCTAGCAATGCTGCGAAAAAGTTGTTCCACGACGTGTCCAATGCTGGGAAGTTGGTGGTTCCGCGACAGGTCCAACGCTGCGCTGGGAAGTTGTTCCATGATGCCGGTTCGTCATCCGAGTTGCCTTTAAGGGTTCAACTTGTTCTTCTGATTAGTACAAAGATCGAACAACAAAGCTCAAAGCTGACCAACTTGTTCTTCTGATTAGTACAAAGATCGAACAGCAAAGCTCAAAGCTGACCAAGTTGTTGTTGGTTCGTCATTCGCGTTGGCAATGCCTCTAAGGGTTGTTCTTCGGATTACCAAGATGGAACAACAAAGCTGACCAACGAGCCTGGCTTGGCCTAGCTCAGTTGACAGTTGGTACACCAACGAACTGTTGAAATGCAGACTCAACTTGAAGTTCGGATCCAGTCACAAAAATAAGATGACCAGAACAATATATTTCTTTTTTTTTTTCTTTTTTCTTTTTTCTTTTTTTTTTTTGCCTTTTTTTTTTTTTTTTTTTTTTTTCCTTTTTTTTTTTTTAAAAAAATATTTTTTTTTTTTTTTTTTTTTTTTTTTTTTTTTTTTTTTTTTTTTTTTTTTTTTTTTTTTTTTTTTTTTTTTTTTTTTTTTTTAGAACAATATATTTCTGAAATATATTGTTCTGGTCATCTTATTGTGACTGGTCACAATAAGATGACCAGAACAATAAGCTGACCAACGAGCCTAGCTCAGTTGGTACACGGACGAACTGTTGAAATATGAATCAGACCCAACGTCGAAGCCAGGTACAATAAGATGACGATCAGAACAACTTGAATATAGTTCGGAATTACCTGGGGCCGGTTAGTTCAATAATAATGATGATATCTCAAGCCTTGGCCGTTCCCCTTTCTCAAAAGAGGGGGGGGGAGGGGGGGGGGGAGGGAAACAAACAAAGAAAAACGAAGCTGGTCAGTTCTGGAAGATTAAACCTTTCTTCATCTTTTCGTCACCGTGTGAGTTTCCCATCTGGGACAAGGAAATATTTCTCACGTCAAGGAAATGTTTTCTAAAGTTATTCTTCAGAGAAGGACGCTGGACCCGGTTTCCAGCAGGTGCCGCTCCCCAGTGTCCCACCAATAGATGGCGCAGCCCGATAGTCCAGACCTCAATTCTGGCGGTTCTCTTTCCACCACTGGGATCATAACGGGCTTGCAAAAGGGGTTTGACCAAAAAAAAAAAAAAAAAAAAAAAAAAAAAAGAAGGGAAGAAATGTGGTTGCCAAGTTACTCGTCACTCCAGAAAGCTTCGCCCCTTAATCCTCCAGTACGTTTCCCAGCCATATTTTTTTTTTCTCTCAGAGACGCGGCTTGCATGCTAGCCAATCAGGCGGAAAGTACATCCATCCAGACAAAACGGGGAGGATATCCATCTAGACAAAATGGGTCGTGTGTGAGCCCCTCCTTGCCTGGATGGCCATCAGGCGGAAAGGAAATCCATCCTGACAAAAAGGGGTGCATGCAAGGCCCGTTTTTTTTGCATGGATGGATGTCCAGCCAAATGGCGCCCCAGTACTTCCCACCCTGATGCGGCATGTCTCTGAAAAACTGGCTGGGAAACGTCCTAGGTAGTGGTTTACTAAGACATCTTTAACACTTCATTCCAGTCCAGAAAGCTTCACCCCTTAATCAGGTCTTTAACACGTCTGACAGGATCATGGCCTGCACAGTTCAACCACACTTAACATAATTACGGCCCGTAGTGAGAGCCATCAGGACCAGCATGTAGCTATAGCTGCCACCCAGCAACGAGCAGGGAGTGATGCGGATAGGAGAAGACATGATCATAGGATGGAATAGGAGAGGATGGGATAACAGCGATTTCGTTAAAACGGACATTTTATATTTTATGAACGAAATTGAAACCCACTCATTTGGGCCTGAAAATGTCACCGTTTTAGTTCCTTAGGGTCCCCCTTGGACGTAGTACCTGAAGTTCAAACTGAGTTCAGTCCAAACGGACCCTCAAGAGATAAACAGTGGTATTCTTTGGGTTAAATACGTAGGTTTCGTTTCTTTCAAAACATATAAAATGTTCGTTTTGACGAAATCGTAGTTGGATACGATAAGATAGAATAAGGTAGGACAAACAAAACGCCACAACACAATTGAAATACACATGTTTGTTTGTTTGTTTGTTTGTTTGTTTGTTTGTTTGTTTGTTTTTCCCCACTATAGCCGTCCTACGGCTTTCGCTTCACATTGAACATACATAGGAAAGACCGAGCGAGCGAATAAAAAACGATCAACCCAGCGAGCCGACCAGTCCAGTCCACCCAAGCAATGGCCTAAAAAGACCAACGCAAAAAAAAAAAAAAAAAAAAAAANTTTTTTTTTTTTTTTTTTTTTTTTTTGGGTTGCGATTTAAGCGTGTCGTCCTTGCGCAGGGGCCATATGCTAATCTTCTCTGTGTCGTTTCAATTTTTAATTTTTTTTGAGAGTGTCGTTTCAATTTTAACGGACGTCCCGAAGGACAACTCGAACAGTTTGGACAACGGAGGTTTTTTTTTAGTATTTGAAAAGGGGCACGGAGTTGAAATATCATCATTGAACTGACCGGGCCCAGCAGGTAACTCAGAATTTTTCTGGTCATCGGTTTGTATCTGGATTGGAACTTGGGTCTGAAAAAAAAAAAATAAAAAAATAAAAAAAATTGGGTATGTATTATCGTATAATCAGGGGCCAAACACGTTTTTCGGGATAATCCGCCTGCCAGGTAAAATCCCAGTGCAGTGCGACTACGTCCAAAGCAGCACGAGGGGAGAGAAGAAGGGAGGGAAGGAGGGAGGAAGGGAGGGAGGGAGAGCCGAAAGGGAGGGGCGATTGCAACGGTAGGAACGGACGCGCAAGGACGGAGGATAGAAGGCGGGAGCGCCAAGAAGGGTGGAGTGGGGACGTGACGCACGGAAGAAGGATTGGTGCGTTGAGCTTTTTCTTGTCGTTGAGAAAAACTCGTCACCATAAAGTTATTTTTATTTTGTTGTTGTTGTTGTTGTTGTTGTTTTTCTTTTGTTTCCTTTTTCTTGTTTTCTTTTCCTTTCTTTCTTTTATTCTTTAGTTTCTTTTTTACACTCCCCGCCCCCCCCCCCACCAAACACTTCTCTTTCCTTTTAGTTGTTGTTGTATTTTACTATTTTCCCATTTTCCTTTTTCTCTTTATTTTCTCTTTTTTTTCCCCTGGAAGAAATTGATATGGTTGCTTCGTCAGTTTTTACACCGGGTCGCTTGAATTCCGCTCGACAGCTTCTCCACGTCACCGACGTCACGCTGTCACCCGTGCCAGCACACATGCACCACTGTCAACAGTATTATCACTAATGTCACACATGTCACACATGTCACACATGTCACACATGTCACACATGTCACACATGTCACAGATGTCACACATGTCACACATGTAGCTGCTTTGTAATCCATGCCACACACGTACGCGTGTCAACTTTGCCTTCCATGCACGGATACAAACCAAATCCGCAAGGCGCAGGCCGCTACAAGTTTTGGGTTTTATTTTTTGGGGGGGGGGGGGGGGGGGGGGGGGGGGGGGGGGGGGGGGGGGGGGGGGGGGAGAGGAGGGTAAGGGAGGGGTATGTGGGGGGGTTGCGCAGGCAGGCGGCTAATAGGAAACACTCGTTCCAATATTGCTCTAGGAGGTTCTCCCTCACACCGTTCCCTTCCGTGAAAAAAACATTTTGCTGTTTGGTCCCGGTCTGTCCTCACCTGCTTGTCGGATGGACATACCATATGTACATCGCCTGTAGAAGGAAGACAAGTCCGCGACTCCGCGGAGGTCCGGCGCGTGTAACACAGCCTATTCAAAGACCGGTCTCCTGCAATAAGTGACGACTGTTCAAGTCCCGCGGGTTCGACAGACAGGAAGAAGAGGGGGGAAGGGGGGGGGAAGGAGCGGGGCAAATGAGGGCGCAGCCTCGGCCGTAGACTAACTTTATGGACCAAGCGGACGGACTGTAGTCCTGGAACGAACGTGGGACTGCCAGCTGTTCTTAATTGAAAACGTGCGACTGATCTGGTATCACCGCCCTGAGAGAAAGCAGGCCATCAATCAACCTACGGTAGAGTAGTCAGCAAGTTGTTCTCTGCTACCGGTCGGTTCAGCCGACGACCTCGCCCGTTGCCCCAGTGGCAAATAACGGACAAGTCGTTCACTGCGGGCGACCAAACGGAGGAGTTTGGGAGCGCAGGTCATGCCGTAGGAACCATACTCGCCGGATCGTGATCACGACGAGAGCTCGCTACCGGTAGCCGACGGACCGGCCGCCCGACCGGCCGACCGGAACGGCCATCATGAGGTCGGCTACAGCCAGCCGACGCTCTGCAGTTCCGCCTCACGGAGCTTTAATCAAGCTGCCGCATGCAATTGGGAGAATTACAACGTGGGGGTGGAGGTCGAGGAGGAGAGGATAGTTGGGATCACTGAGGAGATGAGAGAGATGAGGGGGGGAGGGTTTGGAGAAGGGAGAAGGGAGAAGGGAGGAGGGAGCGTCGAAATCCCACTCGTCCGACGACACACTGCCACACGTTGGCCGACAAGGCGTGCATGCGAGAGAAATTACATGCATGCATGCATGCATGCACACGTCAGCTAGAAACGAGAGGGAGAAGGAGAGTGGCAATGGAGGAGAAGAGAGAGGGAAAAAGAAAGGGATGGCGAGGACAAGATGGGAAGAGCTAGTGGGGAGGAGAGAGGCACACGAAACACATGAAAGAGTAGGGTCATCACACTCTGGCTCTGATTATGCACAACCATTTATCAATTTGGAACAAAAACAAAAGCCAGCGAAGCGCGCCAAGCCAGTGCATCCCATCCGATAAATATAATTACATCAATCATGAGCTAGCCAGAAGACGACAGGAGAGCGACGTCCAGCTCCATTCAAGTGCAGTACTATCTCCCTCCCTCTCTTCTCTCTCTCTCTCTCTCTCTCTCTCTCTCTCTCTCTCTCTCTCTCTCTCTCTCTCTCTCTCTCTCTCTCTCTCNCTCTCTCTCTCTCTCTCTCTCTCTCTCTCTCTCTCTCTCTCTCTCTCTCTCTCTCTCTCTCTCTCTCTCTCTCTCTCTCTCTCTCTTCTTTTTTTCTATACGAGGCAGGCAGAGTGTCAAACACACTGACCCACCGAGAGACTTACGCAACAAACACACGCACACACCCACCCACACACCCACACACACCCACACACACACACACACACACACAAAGCAAAGAGCGCAGAGAATCGCACCGCTCCTTGACCGCGTGATTTACTACTTCAACTGACCGTACCAGATGCCAGAGATCTTCACCTCCTTGGCCTGCTTGGCACCGAGGTCGGTATCGGACGGCTGCACGCTCTCAAACGTCCCCACCACCTCTCCCGATTCCGGATTGGACTGAGCCACGGTGAAGACTATGTTGCCCTCGGCGGCCGACGTGCTCTTCAAGTTCTCCTTCTCCAGGTCATCTCTATCACCTGACCCTCCTGCTGGCAGTGCCACCGCGTTGTCGTATCCAGTGGACCCACCTCGGCCCTTCGGGTCCAAGAAAGACGACCCTCTGTAGGACGGAACCAGGTACTTTCCTCCGAAGCTCGACGGCTTCCCAGTCGCCACCAGCTCCTTCACCGAGAACAGGAAGGGCACTCTCTCCCCTCCCGGCAACTGCACCGTCACAGCCGCGTAGTCGATTCCGTCCTTCTCCTCGAACTTCACGGATCCATCGCTGCTCACCTCGAATGGGCCCTCAATCTCGTCCAGAGTGTAAGTCAGTCTAGTCATGAGCTTGGTCTTGGTGAACTCAGTGTCGCCGCCCTTGAACTGGGACTCGGCCTTGACGCGGAACTCAGTCGGCTCGAGGCAAAGCTTCTGCATCTGGTATTTGCCAGGCTTGAAGCTGAAGCCGTCCAAGCCTCCACCAATAGCAGGGCACTGGTTGGCAGTGCCGGTACCCTTGACCTCGAGGTAAGTCTTGCTGTTGATTTCGTCGAAGGTCAGACGAGGAGGAGCGGCAACGGCAGCTTGCGCCAGCAATGCAGACGTGGCCAAGGCGACGGCGGCACCCTTGGCGGCATCGGCGACCTTGCTAACGAAGGAGGAGGCCTCCTCGTCGAGGGAGCAGGAGAGGCGAGAGTTGCATTTGCTAAGGCCGAAGGCCTTGGCAGCAGAAGACGAGCCGCTGCTGCCCTTGAGCTGCAGGCGGGTGGCACTCTCAAGCTTGGTCTGGGCGAGGCCCGAAGCCGACGCCTTGATGGCGGCGCTGCTGGCAACCGTGAGCGCAGCCATGGCTATGTCTGTGACTTCTCTGTGAGGAGGACTGCCTTCGTGCCTCTCCCACTGTGCTGCGCGCTTTTGGCTCGCGGCGGCAGAGGAAAGAAAGAAGTTTCAGTACCTTCTCTCCCCCCCCCCCTGCCCTGCTGGCGGAATGGATGGGCTCCTCCACGGGTCAAACAATTGCGCGAGCAGCGGACGGCCGCGCAATCTTCTATCTTTCTACCTTATCTGTCTATCCTCCTCGTCCTCCTTCCCCTCCCCCCTACTCCCGCGAGGGTCCCCTCTCTCTCTCTCTCTCCCTCTCTCTCTCTCTCCCCCACCCCCTTTCCCCTCTCTCTCATCCGTCCTCCATCTAATCCCTAACGACGCTCCGGGCCTCGCCCCGAGGTAGCAGTATGCTGAAGTCGGTCAGGATCTCTTCCGCGAAGAGCCCTGTGGATCCGTCCGCTGGACCCGATCGGGCCGAGGATGAGTTCCAACGCTGGGATACTCGGCTGGAACCCAAAGCAGGCCTGCTACCGGTCGCTGCTCCACTGAGCCTCAAAAGCGTTGCCCAGGTTTGGGTCAGCGCCCTTTCCCCCCCCTTTCTCCCACCCCCAGCTGCGCCCACACCTTGCCTTCAACCCCATTTCCTCAACGGCCGTAGGTAATTCAGAATTGTAGTATATTTACTCATCATATGTACGTCCGCCGAGGTTCGAACTCAGGTCCTTCCAAATTGTAGTATAATACTCTTGTGCGTCGGCGATGCTCGAACTCACGTCCGCAGTCAACAGTTCAGGGGTGTACCAACTGAGCTACCGTCTTCCCCCGAGCATACCGCACCCTGAAAATGAACGTATACAAGGTATGTTTCCCGCCCGATACAGGCAAAATGGGGGTGCGTTGTGTTCGGGGGAAGACGGTAGGCCGGTTGGTGCTCCCTCGCTTTTCTGCTTTCTATGGCTTTCCCAAATAGGCAAGGCGGAAAATAATGAGTAATGAGGAAAAGCTTTCTGGCAATGAAGACCCTGGAGCCAGATCCAGGGTCCGATATAACGGGCAACCAATCAATCAGCGGGCCAATCTCTATCCGTCGCGCCAGAAGGCAGAACCTCACCCAGTACGCATCCGCCTCAACCCAACCAGAAGCCGAAATCACCCCACCCAAAAGCCGAAATCACTCCGCTCAAAAGATTTATCATTCTTTGTTTTGAAATCGTATTTTAAATGTTAGTTATTTATTGAAGAAAAGAAGGATTAAACTGGAGAAAGGTCCCCACAACCCATGCCCACCCCCCCCCTTAGGCGTAGACTTCTCAAAGCGGATGGGAGGAATCCCAGTGAAATAATGGATGCGTGCTACCGGTAGGCAGGGCCAGGTCCCACAGGACTATTTTACTTGCACTAAGTTACCCGTGACGTGGCCCTGATCTGCTTTTTCACCAGTTTTCGTATGCTCTGCCACAAGTCACAGCCCACCGTTATAGACCACAAGTACCCTTTTTCCCCTTTCCCTTTTCCTTTTTCTACCCCCATCCTTTGCTTTTCTCTTTCTTTTATTTTCCTCTCTTTTCCTCACGCAACCCCTCCCACCCTGCGTCAACATCAAGGACCACCCACCTCCGAGTCTGCATTCCAGGGGAACTATCGGAAAGCGGTTGTGGGCACCAGGGCTCTGGAAGGCAACATGTCCATTCCTGGTTGAAGACCAGGCCTGTGTCATACAGGCACTTCAGACACGAGGCATGATCATTTTGTATACCAACCGCGTGAGCTAACCATGATGAGCCCCGGGGAATCTGTACCTCACAGACCCCTTTACTGAGCTTCCACAGGCAGTGTCTCATGGCCCCTTGCCAAGCGAAGAGCTAACATAGGGCAGCCCAGGCCCTATACTCAGTCCAGGAACCTACACCACCCTTCTTTCTTTGTGTGTGTGTGTAAAAAGGCTCCATTCTATTGGCAGGGAGCTACACCTGCTGGAAAACTGGTCCAGCCTCCCAATTTTGAGGCGCCTGTAACAAAATGGATCAAGCCCGACAGCAGCCCACACCTACCCAGCTGTCTCTTATACACATCTAGATGTGTATAAGAGACAGGCCACACACGTACGCGTGTCAACTTTGCCTTCCA